ATTAATTAATCAGCTTTGAAATCTTCCTGAAAACCGCTCCACACACGCGCAAGGAGCCCATACATGTGAATGCACAGATGACCTCTCGAAGAATGACAGTTACAGGTAAGGTAACCTGCCTTTCTGAGAAGGGGTGCAGCAAAGGACCATGAAGGTGGGGGGTTGGCTGCTGGGGAAGGAGAGGGGGCACAAGCTGTCACAGCACAATTTGTTGCTAGACACAGTTTGGTAAGCAAGATGGTAGGTGAGAAGAGTGGCATGCTCATTGCCACACTTGCCAAGTGGTTGTGTAGCTGATCACTGTAATACACAGTAAACTCTTTCTCCTGGATTTAGGCTGCACAACAATCCATTCTGGGCAAGAACAACCCTACAGCAAGCCCTGGGTTCTCCCTGTGGCTTGTTCCTCCAAAGTAAAACACTCCACGCTCAGTGCTCCATGTTTGGAGAACCCAACACCCTGTCATGGCCAGGTGTAAATGCTCTTGTTCTCGCTCTCTCTTTTAACAAACAAGTTGTTTAAATAATACAAATATGTGCACCTTTTTTAACCTTTTCATTGCAAGCATATGGAATTTGTGACTTTTTGTTTTCCTTCCAGCAGCCTTTCAAAGAGCAGTTTTCTTTTCTTGCTGACCACTTCCAAAGACAGTTTCTTTCTGTCATGGAACAGATTCCTTTATCCCTAGGTGTACACAAGCCATGTGACCCGATCAAGCAGGGGTGGCAGCTAAATGTGTAACCTGTTTTATCTACATTCCCTCCTACTCCTTTGTACTTTAGATGAAACTTGGTGGAATTTAGTTTCTTTCTAGGTTACTGAAATGTGAAGTCCTGCTCTTTGTGCAAACCATTCCAGCACTATGCATGAGCTGAGATCGTAATAATTTCTTAGGCAAGATTCTCTTTTCATCTCTTCTTGTCTCTTCGAGCTGCACTGCTAGATAGCGCCAACAGTTCTAGCCCAGCAGGTGGCCTGAGAAATGCCCTTTGGGAGCCTGGAAGGTTTTCGTTGCAACAGCAATGCCCCAACTTCATTGTGCATTGCCAGCATACTTGGAGGTGTTCTTCCTCTGAACATAGAAGTTTTATTCCATTTCTATGGCTATTAGTTTTATGTTTCTCAATTATCAATTAATTTGTCTGATCCTTTTTGAAAAGTAATCTATAAGTAGGCATCCCTGCATCCTGCAGCGCTTGACTCTTCTAAGTTGGCTACAGGCTGTTTGGTGAAGAACTTCATTTTGTCTTTCCCAATCTACACTTTATTGGGTAACCCCTAGTAATATGAGGAAAGGAGAAATTACTTTTCCACACTGTTCACCATTTTGCAGATTGGCTATGTTTCTCTAGCCATTTTCACTCTAAACAACCACAAATGTTAACCTTTCCTCACAGAGAAAGTGCTGAAACCTCTGGATGCCTTTCTGTACCGTTTCCCAGTTTGTGATATGTTTTATTAGGTCACCCAAGTAAGAAGTGGGTTATGTTACCAACTGAAGCCAAGAGCCAATTGGCTGTGTCCATTTGCAGCTCAATAATAGTTGAAATGCTTGGCCTTCTGCCATCATAATTTATGGCTATATATTATCTATGCAAATTAATCACAGTCTTGAGTTTCTGGGCTATATGGAATGGGGGATGATGTCACTGGGAACCAATCAAGCTGCTTGGATTGAAGTGCCCAACTGTTGTCTGGAAGTTAAGATTAGTACAGTTTATTGAGATAGTGTGCTTGTTGTTAATGCTGTGGAAACATGGAGGGCTGGGCCTGCAAGGGTTTCTGCATTGGCATAGACAATCTGGTGCCTTCCAGATACTTTGGATCACAACTCCTATTAAACCCAACCAAGATGATTAAATATCCGAGGTAATAGGAGTTGGAGTATGAAAATATGAAGGAAAGAAGGCTACTTAACCTTGCTTTTCTTCTGCTGCTGCTGCTGCTTCCTCTTCATCATTTCTATACTGGCCCACAGTTGAAGTTCCATATATACCTCGTATCCAGGATGAGCTTTCTTTTATCTGTTAAGGGCCATGTTCCTTTGTAAGTGATCTTTAGGGGCTGAAACCAGCAATGGGCAAAGCCATGGGCAAAAATGACCCCTTTTCTCCTTTCTCCACTTTCTTCCACGGCTGCCACCTCCTCTCTGCCCCTCCTGCTTTCTGCTCAGTAGACAGCCAGGAAAGGAGCAGAGTGTGCTTGCCATAGGCCTGGAGGCTTTTGAAATGAGGATGCAGGGTGCATTTAATTGGACCAAGGGCCTCAAGTTGCTCACTTCTGCTCTGTATTTTTGGTTTCAGGATGTAGTACTTAAATGGAAGCCTGGGAGTTGCCCACTTCTGCCAGCAGAGACAAGAGGATGCATGCTGGCATCGTGCTAGTGATAATTGTTTATACTGATCTCACAGTTGTTCGCACTGACCCTACAGATAGGGTGGGAAAATCACTCCCACAGTTACGTGCGTTGTAATCAAATGAATAAAACTTCTTTTTGGAAGATTTTTTGGGTGGGGACATATGAGGATCGGCAGTGTCTATGGATGTTGTAACATGTTCTTTTGAACACTTTTCATTGTGTAAGCTTGCTGTGCCTCCTTCTGGAAGTTTCAGGTATTCAGCACTAGTAGAGCAATATGCGACAAATACTTTGGTCTGCTGTGGCAGAGGCATGTAAATCTGATGCTAATCCATACGCCAAACAACTGGTAGTTAGCATCTCTTTCAGCAGGTTTTCCTAAGGCCTCCGTGTTACATCCATTTATATTATGCCTACCTGTGTGTGATGCCTATGGAATGAATTGCACTTGCTCCAATGTAAAATGCAGGAGCTGGGCTTGGCTGCACTCTGCATACCTAAATCTCTTTTAAAACTGGATCCCATCAAAGGAGTCTACTTTTGAACTCCATCCCAGAGTCATAAAAGAGCTAATGGAGGAACTCTCAGAACCACTGGCTATTATCGTCAATAAATCTTGGAAAACAGGAGAAGTGCCAGATGACTGGAGAAGGGCTAATGTTGTCCCTATCTTCAAAAAGGGGAAAAAAGATGAACCTGGGAACTATAGACCAGTTAGTCTGACATTAATCCCTGAAAAAATTCTGGACCAAATTATTAAAAAATCCATCTGCAAGCATCTTGAAGAAAATACAGTGATTAACAGAAGCCAGCATGGATTTATCAAAAATAATTCCTGTCAGACTAATTTAATCTCCTTTTTTGACTGGGTAACCTCCCAAATGAACAAAGGGAGCACTGTGGACATAATCTACCTAGACTTTAGCAAAGCTTTCGTCATAGTGCCACACAACATTCTGATAAGCAAATTAGCAAAAACTGGACTAGATGGAAAAACTATTGGGTGGATCCAAAATTGGCTGCTTAATCAGACACAATAGCATATTCTCAAATTGGATGGAGGTAACTAGTGGGGTGCCACAAGGTTCAGTCCTGGACCCAGTGCTGTTCAACATCTTTATCAATGATTTAGATGAGGAAGTACAAGGAAAGATAATCAGATTTGCAGATGATACAAAACTGGGTAGAATAGCAAACACCCTGAAAGACAGGATAAAGATTCTGGGCAATCTTGATAAACGAACACTGGGCTGAAAGCAACAGAATGAGATTCAATAAGGACAAGTTCCCCACCTGGGAAAAAGAAACCAAATGCATCGGTACAAGATGGGGAATACGTGGCCCAACAGAACTGGACAAGAAAAAGATCTTGGAGTAATCATGGACAATAGGCTAAACATGAGCCAACAATGCGATGCAGCCGCCAAATGGCAAATGCTATTTTGGGATGCATCAACAGAAGTATTGCTTCCAAATCACGAGAAGTAGTAGTTCCTCTATACTCCTCACTAGTCAGACCTCGTCTGGAATGCTGTGTCCAGGTCTGGGCACCAAAATTTAAGAAAGATACAGGAAAATTAGAAAGTGTCCTGAAGAGGACAACACAAATGATCCAGGGTTTGAAAACACTGCCCTCTGAGGAGAGACTGACGGAGCTGGCCATGTTCAGCCTTGAGAAGAGATAATTGCGGGGGGACATGATATCCCTCTGTAAATACCTCAAAGACTGCCACAAAGAGGAAGGTCAAGATCTCTTCTTGCTGATGCCAGAGTGTAGGACATGGAATCATCAATTCGATCAGGCTAGATATCAGGAAATACGATAGTGGAACCAGCTGCCTAGAGAGGTGGTGGGCTCTCCCACACTGGAGACATTCAAGAAGAAACTGGACAGCCATCTGAGTGGGATGGTGTAACTTGGTGTCCTGCAACAGCAGGGAGTTGGACTGGATGGCCTTCATGACCCCTTCCAACTCTACTATTTTATGATTCTATTTCTTTGAAATATCCCTCCCATTTTACCAGACTGTTGAATGATCCTGGCATCTTCTAATGAGGAATGTACTTTTAAAAATTGTATTGGTCTGATTATATTAGCAGCAGGCAGATCCTTTTCTGTTGATCACATTCCCCTAGAGATAATCTCTTGGGACTGCATGCTGGTGGTGAGCAGAGCTGAACATGGAAATGGGTGGAGACAAAATGGACAAAGCCACCTTTCTTATCATTCTCTTCTCTGTGAGGGCAATTGAAATTAGGGCCCTGGCTTATATAGTAAAAGAAACATTTCTGAAGTGGTCTGTCCACCAGCTAATCTTTGGGCAGAAATGACATGAAAAACTTGCCTTGAGATTGTGTTTACTTTCAGACTGGTCACGACCAAGAAGGAAATAGGTTCAGTGGTCAAAAGTTTAGGAAATTAACAAGTGTGTGCACAATAAATGTAGCCTAGATAGCATAATACAAACTAGAACAGGAGGGATAGTGATACTAATGTCAATTTATATATGGCTTCAACCATGTTATATGACTTGATACCAGGCTACCTGCAAGACCACCTTCTGCCATCCTTCTCTGAGCAGGTCAGGCTGCTGCTGGTTGTCTGGCTCTGAGCTAATGCTGCGTCTGTCTTCTTCCCAGATTAACCTGAGCAAGGTAGGCGAATACTGGTGGAGTGCCATTTTAGAAGGAGAAGAGCAGATTGACATTGATAAAATCAATAAGGAGCGATCTATGGCAACAGTGGATGAAGAAGAGCATGCTGTACTTGACAGACTATCTTTTGACTACCATCAGAAGCTGCAGGGCAAGCCACAAAGCCACGAGATGGTACGTGTCCTAAAACCCACTGTACTGTGCTGTGTTCTGGTAATAATTTGGCTTGCTGACTGTACAGTTTCTTGGTTCTTTTAAAAATGTGCTTCATGTTGAGCAATCGCAATATGAACTGTTGGATAACAGGAACACTTTGGTTGTTCCCTTCTGTAAGAGCAATTGCTAGGCTTAAATGAAATCTGGTGCTTTGATCCTTAAAGGCATTTCCCAGTTTCATTCTTGACTGCTTAGGGAAGTGTGAGGCAGATGGGTAAATATGGGGTGGGGAGATTAGTAGGCAAAAGTCCTAATTACTACTTGCACAATGCAAGTTTTGGGATCCTTTAATTCAGCTCCAGGAAAACTGTATTCATGGGGATACAAGGGCAAATATCCTAAATGTGGCTTGAATTTTGTAGAACTAATTAAATCAAACTTATAAATGCCCACTTATCCAACTGCTGCCTCTTCTTACTGGGGGGAGGCCACAAGTAAGAATCTTTTCCAGATTACTAGCTTTATGAGGAATGTTTTTCCCTGTAAACCAAAATAAAATTAGCTTCTGCAGAAACTAATTCATTTGCAAGCTTGATTCTTACATCCTATTTTTAGCACTCCACATGACATGTACTTGCTCAACATCTTAATGGGTAACTTTTCTGAGGCAGTTGCAGTGGTGCTTCTGGTGTGTTATAACAGTAGCCAACTGATATTTATTGTCATAATCTTGGGCATGCAGGCTATTTCCGGTAAAGCTCTGCTCATAGCAAAAGAGCTGCAAGCTATATGGAAAGTATCCACTTCTGGACAAATCACGTTTTACATTCCCACTTGAATGTTTTCTCATTTGGGCTGTGACACTACTAACCTTAAGCCTCTATGCAGAGTAAATCAGTTGATCTTAGCATTTGTTATATTTACATCTGTTTAACAAGACCTTCTGTTGTATTTGAGCATTGGTATTCTTTTCAGCTCAACTAATTCAGAAAGCAGAAGCCAGTAGTTTGAAAATCAAGAAAAATTACATTAAAACATCCAGATAAAAATGCAGAATAAATCAGTTTTATTTTAACATTATGAAGAATAATTCCAACCAAACTTGTATCCATTATACTCAGAACGTAAATGCCTGCTTAATAAAACCCCAGCCCCTCTATGTAAACTAAGTTTCCAAAACAGGTGTATGTTAAACACAGGTTGGCAACTGAGAACACTATATTAATTGCCAAAGACAGTTTGTTCTCTGAAGAAGTCAGCATGTGCAGCAAAGATTCATTGCACTGACCTCCAGCAATCAAGGAAGTTCTTGTAGGAATAGGTTCTTTCTACACACTTAACTGTTTTCTCCTACATCACTGTAAAGTCCAAAGTGGGCACCCTTGAGGCTCAAGAGACTAAGTCCTTATCCATGCTTTGCAGGTTACTTGATTTTGTTTAAAGTCTGTTCTGGTTGGTCATGTGCTAATTGCTTATCTCAATCTCTGTGCTCCTCACCTATAAAATTTGAGCATTAATTAGTTACCTATGAAGCTCTGCTAACCAATTTTAGAGTTTTCTGTTAGAATTCCTGATCTATAGTAATTCAGTTATAGATTTGTATATGCTGGCCACCCCAGTGCAGTAGGTAACAGCTTCAGGCCCTGGGTTTCTGTTTTGAACCTGGATCTGCATCCTGCCCATATTTTGTACCTGTCTCTGGGTGGTAGACCTCAGGTTTCCAATAAAAACAAAATATATCCTGCAAACCTGAAGTCCTGCTGTATCATAATTAATTCTTCACTAGATAGTAAGTCCTGCTAGTTTTTTCTTTGCTTCTTTGGTATAATCTGCAGCACACAATTGTCTTGATGCACACTTTCTGTTGCTACCTAGCATGAATGTTCCTCCATATTGCTTGTACCCACAAACACACTTATGCAACTGGTTTGGCAGGAATATGCTTGGAGCTCCAGTGCATTTGAAGTGCACTGGTTGCTGCTATTTTTGATCACTTCCAGTAGCACACTTAAAGGTACCATGCTGCTGCTAAGTCACCCTGATCTGAGAAATTCAGGGGAAAGAAAAGAAAGATGGCCAGGTATCCTTTAACCCACTACTGAGATGGTATGTAAAAATACCACAGCTGTGTTTGTCAGAACTAGACAGAAGGTGCTTGATTCCCAGAGGAGGAGGGGAAGAGGTCAGTAAAGTAAAGTAGCAGACAAATAATCAAATATATTATTAAAGCATTCACCTTATTAGAACAACATTTTATTGCCCAATGTTTTTGTGGGAATGAAAAATACTTCAGTCAGCATTTTTCATACTTATGCTAATTAGACAAATACATTAGTTAACTGTAATAGTGAATCAGTGAAATTAATGAAGTATAATAATTTAACCATGTCAGAGGTTTTGTTGTTTTTAATAAGTGTGAACTATTGCCCTTTTTTGTTTTTAACCTGGAATGCCAGAGTTAGAAAATTACAGTTAGAAAATTAGGAAGAAGCAAAGAAATGGAAATGGAAATGGGTATACTTTAAAAAAAAAATCCATGTTTAAAGGCATTAAGTAAGCAAAACCCCCCCACCAAACAGTTCTTCAAGCTTGTGGCTTTGCTGTGTGGACCGACTTGACCACTGCAAGGCCTGGAGAGCCAACAGCTTTCACTCCTACCTTTATTAGGATACAATAAAAAGGTAAGCTGCTACTTCTACCGTGACTGCATTCAGATATCATTGTAACTCATGGTTTATCTCAGCCGCCATGATGTATCATGATGGGGACAGGTCTGGCCTCAGCACACACATGCTGCTGCATATATGCCTTTTTGCTTTTTCTCTCCTCCTCTTGGGATATCCAGAAGGAATAGTTCAGAAGCATTCTCCATTTTGGTTTTCCAAACCCTATACATTGTAAACATGGACTCTTTGAAAGAAACCTCTTCCAAACTATGGCCGATGACGCTGTTCAAGATCTGCAGTCAAGATTAAGAGAAGCCATGATCAGCTGACAGGCAGTCAGTGCACCAACCCAAGTCAGGATTAATCTGGTTAGCTGGTCTCTGTATATTGCATGACCTAAACATAACTGTGTTGCAATTACAGAAAGTCCATGAGATGCTCAAGAAGGGCTGGGATGCTGAAGGCTCCCCATTCCGAGGCCAGAAGTTTGATCCCTCCATGTTCAACATCTCTCCTGGGGCCGTGCACTTTTGATGATGGCACCGAGGACGAGAGACTTGCCTACTGTCTGGCAGAAAGGATGAACTGATGCCACTGCCAGGCCCCTCCTGCTGCCGTCGCCGTCATGTGACTTCAAGGAGCTCTTTTGATCCTGCACTGTTACCTGGGCATATGTGTAAAACGACAGATGTTAAAATGACCAGAGTGTGGGTTTGGTTTTCGGGAGGGGGGCAGAGAGGGAGCTGAGGTGTCAGTGTGGGTGAGTCCTTCTCTCCATCACCAGGTTGGTGCATTTGATATGTATGTGGGGGAAACCTAGTGAAAGCAGCATTACGTACTGTGTCGCCACGGCAACCAGCAGCTGCTGGTAGCATTTCCTCTTCTCTCTTGTTAATGGATTCATTTGCTATTGGTCGGGAGAAGATTGCTTAAAGGCAGTTTTCTATCCTCCCCCACCCCTACCCCTTTTTTCAGATATAGATGCAGTTTGCAGTTCGGAAAAATTATGGCAACTTCTCTGTTGCTTCTTTGAAGCTGCCTTCCGCTTTTCTTATACCAACCCCTTCCAGTTTTAGGAAACCCAAACTCCTAATGCCACTGGGCAGTATAGCCTTCTCTAAACATTGACAATCTGCAATCATTGTCATTTCAGTGGTATCCAGAATGTTAGGTTGGTCTTTGAGGCCCTGCCAGGGGGATGGAAATGTTGCAAGGCTTCATCAAATTATCTGAAAAAGAGCTAAACAGAAGGTGACGCTTGATAGCTATATAGTTGGAGTGGTCTGTGAAGTCCAGGGATGGCATAAAAAGAAAAAGAAACCAGGTGGCCCCCATCCTGCTTTCTGTGAATGGGTGACTTGGTGTTCCCAAAGCTGCAGTTTGCTTACAAAGCTTATCTTCTTCTTGCTTTTGTCCAAATGTCCTTGCCATTAAGTTTCTAAACTTGGGTATCCTTTTTCATCCTCCCGATGAAATATAAAATGTTTGACTGCATGTTATGTGTATCTGTTTAAAAAAAAGAAAAGAAAAAGCAAGGAAGAGCAAACAGGAGAGGCGGTAGTGACCATGGAGCAAGGGGTTTGTGCTTATGTATACATGCAGTTCCTGAAAGATCCTGCCTTCGGCTCCAAAACTGCTATTTGCACAAAAAGGAAAGCTGCTGACACCAGTTATAGCTTGAGGGTATTTTGTCCCCCCACTTCCATAACTGCTTTCCTCTCTCTTCCTTGCAGATCTGGCTGACTTTTTCTTGCATAGCCGCTATTTAAAAAATAATACAGTCCCATATATCTCTTATGAACTAGTTGGCTCTTAAGTGCATACAATTAATGTGGTTTCAGGTAAACTGAGCTGATGGCAGTGCTTAAGGTGATAAAGCTAATGTAGGGCAATCTTCTGGACTCCTTATTTGAATCCTGTAATATATAGGAGGCAAAGAGTGAGGGCGTCATTCAACTTTGTCTGGTTCCAGATAGACCATGTGTGTTTTCCAAGAGAGAGCAGGTTTTATTCTTGATTCTTGTCCAGTTCTTCAAAGGAAGTGTCATGATGCCAAAAGGGCGGGGTTAGGGGAATGGTGGCCTTACTATATTAACTGATTGTCTGAATCAACTTCCAATGTACTGTTTCAAGGATCCTGTTTTTGCATATTTTAATTTCAGCTGACAATCTCATACCAAAGGTAGGGAGAGATACTGTTGAGGAAACAAAGATCGTTGCACTTATTATGTTCCCTCTTCCTACTTTGGCAAGGCTTGTTAGAACCTCTTAGCAAGTATAGATCTTATCCCTGTTGTTGTGGCAGCTCCATAACTTTTATCCTAGAACAAATAAGAAATATGGTCACAACAAACTGATTGGGAAGATAGCCGTGTCAGATTTAATAATAGGTACTTGTCTGGTGGCCATTAACAATTAACAAAGGCAGTGGTTCTGGAGCAGCTTCACTTAGCTTTCCTCAACCTAGAAGATTAAGATAGTTGTAGCCCAACATTTGGGAAACACCAGGTTGGGGAAGTCTTTTCTAACCCTGTCAAAATGGAAGACTTTTTAGGTGTGTTCATAACTGCTGGATGGGCCCTCCGAGAGCAGAAAGCTTTATCTACAGTGTTCTCTGATGAAAAGGGAATCATCGTCTATAATAACACTGGTGCAACACTGTCAGCAACTCGCTATCCCCTATAGAATCATAACATACATGACTGACTGAAGGGGCAGTAGTGTCCATCAGGGAACCTGGGATTCATTTTCATTGAGGAGGAGGACTTCATTCTGCACTCTTCAGCACTTGGTTGAATTTTCTCATTCCTGCTATTAATTACCAAAAATCAGGCACAGGATTAATAAAGGCCCTTGACTTGTGATACCTGCTTGGCATTTGAAAATCCAATGCAGTAAAGAGTATCTGGTACTTTCCTCCTCTGCCCCTTCGTCACCCTCTTCCAGGCAAGGTGTAACACACAGCTGAGCGCTCACCCATTAGAAAACAGGGAGGACTTACTTTTTGGGGAGGTGCAACGCCAAGAAAGACACTCAGGATCCAAATTGGCTCAGATGATTTCTTCATTGCCTCAGTTGTATTGAGAACGTGGTAAGTATTGAGGTTCCACAAAAGGAGTGGAAAGCTTGCTAGCCTTTTATCAAATATTAGCTTGTGTTAGCTCCTGAACATAGTTGGCATCTGCTGCCATTAGAAACAGAAGTTCTGTTTGTCAGCTACTGCTAAGTAGATCTTGATTATCTGATCCCTAAGTAGAGGACAAGGAAGTTGATTGGCTCAGCTTGGCTGTAGAAGGATCAGCAGGTAATCTTTGCTATCTCGTTTCTGGCAAATTTTTGTGTTTTTAGTAATCCGGTCACTTTCTAGGTATAAAAGTAGAAAGAAACATGTCAGACAATGTGATTACTCCCTGCCAAGATAATGGTGGTTATTCACATGCACCATTTTGTGTGTTTTCAGTTTTGCCTAAAATAATGTGAGTGGTAGCTCACTTGCTGTGAAGAGCATAGTGAGACTTGGCAAGACATTAGCCCTCCTTTGGTGCACTGCATTTGTTTCTCCTCCCGCAGCCTTAAATTATTGAAAGCAACCATAGATCTTAGAAGTATGCTTGAAGGCATCCAGCAGCAACTCCCTGGGTTTTGTCCCTTGCAGAAATGGAGCACTCGCAGCTCCAGTGCTAGAATAGGAGCACCGAGACTCCTTTGTCGGATCTCAAGTGCAGATCTCAAGTAGGATGATCCAAATGGATGGCTTTGTTTAGGGCTGTGCTTTAGGAATTAAGACACCCAGCTGCAAGAGATTTGTCCAGTCCGACCTTTCATGCTCTGTTTGGACATCTTAGTGAAGACAACAGTTCAAGACTGGGTAAATTGGGCCTAGAAGAAAATGCCTAACCCTTTCCTCAGAATACCAGTTGTAGCCATACATGATACCAAATAGGAAAGGCAAAGGATGTTGGGGAAACCCACAGAGGTAGGTTGGGAAAGTGTAAGGACTACTTAATATTTGATTTTTGTCCTGCATATGTCTGAGGGATGTTGGCATGTTGCCTCTTGACAGATTTATGTCCAAAGAGCTGACTGTTTTTTATCACACAAAATACCTTCTCCTAGAAAAACAAAACAAAAGTGAGATCGGCTCACTCCAGGTCGGCAACTAAAGTTAACCGACAAAGATCAGGGCAGGTGGTGAAAAGCAGCTTGCTTCCAGTGCCTGATCGCCAGCCTAAGCATTGTGCCCCGCCAGTTTGTTAAGCTATGCATTTATGTAAAACTGTGTCACTGGCCAGCTTTCCACATGTAGCAGACATTTCCACAGATTATTCTTTTCTAATTAGAAATGCTTCCTCCTGAACATGCGTCCAGTCCGTGTCTTTTGAGGACTCTGCTTGCTTTCTATTCCTCTTGAGGTCAGAAACTGCAACGTTGTCATTAAGCAGGACAGAGTAAAACTAGGGTAAGTCTGCACATTTTGTTACCTTCAGGTGAACCCAGCCTTCCTGATTTGTATGGTGATGGTCAAGGACTTGATAAACTCCCCAGTTCTGCTATTCTGCTGCAAAAATGGGGCAAGAGTAGAAAGAGGGTTTGTCAAGCATTCGATATGCTTACAATCCATGAAATGGTGGGCCACCAATCATTTTAAGTTTGGAGTAAGCTGACTGTTAATTTTTTAATTTCCTGTTGTATCTTTCCTCTCGTGCATGGAAAAAGGCTGATCACTTTTGATGTCAGCATTTTGTTTATTTCTGGTTGTCTAGAGCTATAAGTTACAATTTGCATACAAAGCAGGACAGTGTTGGCGTTGTTTGAGCTGAACTAAGGGACTGTGGACCTGTGGCACAGACACTCTACCTGCTTGCAATAAACGAGTTTCCTCTAAGCCGGTGTGTGTGCCTGTATGCATGCATTTGTGCCTCTGAATCTTAATGAGAAGGAACCTTTTTCTATATTTTGTGCTGGCATAGCTTTCCGCTCTCTGCCGATATGGCTTAGAGTTCTTTCTCTAGTACTCTGAGGAAAAAAAAGTGTTAGATCTTTGACTACTGGACCAGCATTTGTTAAGCTTGTGCAGAGTGTCAAGCTCAAAGAAGTCTCTTTAATAGAGTGCCTGAAAATGCTTAAAGATGAATCAAGGGAGTTGAATTCATCTATCAGTTGCCCTCCCTCCCAGCTGTAAGAGAATCTATACATGAGGCTTGATGATACAAAACTGCCTTACACTGTACGCCGTACTTTGGTTCGTACATTGCTTCTCTGAGTACAATATTTTCTCTCCTGCGTGGCAACCAGTTGCCAGGACCCCTGGGGTGGAGAGAATTTCTTCACTTGCTACCTGATCCTTTAAGCTGGAGATGCCTTAGTTTGAACCTGGCAGAACATGTGACCTGCCCTGAGCAGTGGAGAAAGTGGCTGCCAGGGGAAGGTAGCATCAGGCTGCGGTTGCAGCATCAATGTGTCCTCTCCATTCTGCTGTCTAGTCCCAGGGATACAATAAGCAAGAGATTAAGAAGTGCCTTTTGGGTGCATGTTGTCCTGCCCTTCTCCTTTTACAAGTGTGGTTTTTCCTGGAAATCTTAAGCGAGACCAGCATGCCCTTTCCACCTTGTTTACTAAGGCTGCATGTTCAGTTTGGAGGCAGTCACAAATACTTCCTGGACACATGGAGTATAGTTTGCTGCCCATGTTCACTGTGAATTGTGGTTGATATTTAAGCAGCTGATGTGCTTGAAAAATTTACTGGGATAAATCATTTTCAAGCCACATACAGATCATGGTTATAATGCTTCACATTCTTGACTGGCAAGCGATTTAATGTGGGAGGCATGGCATTACCTCAGCAAGCCAAGCCCTTGTGTGCCCCTTATCCCTTGAACAGCACAGGGTAGACTTCAACCGAAGGTCCACACCGGATGCTTTTCTCTTTTCTTTATCATGTCCCAGGTGTAGGCTCCTGATACACTTAATGAAGGTAATTCCTTGGCTATGTGAGGATGTAGCTAATTATTCCTGAGTAGTCAGTGGAATGCTCCTAGTGATAGCGCACTCAGGCTGCCAGTCACTATTTCTGCATAATATCAAAATCTTTTATCCTAAATCACTTCGGGAGGTAGCTACAGTAAGCTGATTTTCTTTATGCAGTACTTTAAAAGTGGGACTTGCAACAAAACGTTTCAGTGAGTGCTCCCACTGAACCCATTCTGTTCCATTCCATTCCTGCCTGGGTTTCTCCATTGAGTATGCTTAGTCTTCAGTGGGCTGTTTTGGGGTCCTCCCCGTTAGGGCTTCTTGTTTTTCTAAATAGTTTAGAATTTCTGCAAACCTTACATATAAAGAGCCTTGCTGGATCAGATCAAAGACTGATAAAATTATTTCCCACATTGGCCAAGAAGATGCTCTGAAAGCAGAATATGAGGACAGAAAAGATATTCCACTCTTGTTCTTCAGCAGCCAGCATTTCAAATCATGCTTCCTCTGATTCTGGAAATAATATACAGCTCTCAGCCATTGATACAGTATTCTCCATGAATTTGCCCCTTTAAACCCATCCAAGTTGATGTCCAATCACTACATATCATGGTGGAGAATCCCATAGGTTGACCATGTGTTTCATAAATATTTTTTTAATCTATCCTGTCCCTCCCACAGTATAGTCTCATTGGATGATCCTAAGTTCTAGTATGAAAGAGGAAATCCAAACACCATATTTTGCCCTTTCTTCAACTCAATAGTCACAAACATAACTTCAAAGTGTTAGATGTTTAAGAAATAATTACTTACTCTCCCCTTCCCCTTGATGTTGGAAACTGTAAAGTGTTCAAACATTTTAACATCCTGATTTAAAAAAACAACAACACCCAGTTGCTTTTGGAAAAGTAGCTTTTGAGATCTCTATAATCTATACTTTTTCATGATAGTAGATAGCGTTCCTGATTGCATTAGCCATGGCTCATCAGCACAAAAGCATCAACACAGATCAATACTGAAAATGCACAACAGATCACCATCCAAGCAGCAATGAAATGGAGCAGGACGTGTGCCAGTAAATGCCAGTAAATACACACACAAGACTGTGATTACTTGTACTATGTGCATAGTATTCCTACTGGTGCAAGAAAATCGCTGGGTATTAATGGCATATATACGTTACAGTCTGAGTCAGTTTATTGTCATAAACTCTTCAAAAAAACCTTGGCAAATTTGCTGAGAATTCTGTTAATGATCCCCAGCTTTCTTACACAAGTACTCTTAGACTTTTAGAGAAGATGTGTATTATAGAATAGTTATGGCATTTTTGTGGCTCTTTATACAATGGTGGGCCTGTTATGTGAGGGCAGTTCTGGATTTTTCAGAGGGTTATGAGAAGCCTTTATCTGCAGGTGTGTAATGAGTCCTACAAAACCTAGGGGAAATTAACCAGTTAGCCCTAATTTCATTTTTAGCCCTGATTTGTTTCCATATTCAAGGAGGAAGTTCAAGTGAGCTGAAAGGAAAAGCTGCAGCTGCTGGCAAGGAAGCTTCTGACTCACCTATGGGTGAAGGGATCATACAGAATATCAGGAATGCTGTGGATACCATTGTGTAGGGATAACTGTCCATTAAATTTGGCTTTAGAAGAAGAGAAACTTGTGAATGGCGGGTATGGGTGGTGAGAAAGTGATAGTATTTAAAATAGAAGGGGTTGTCAGAGTAGAAATCATTAGATAATTACCTCATGGCCCTGTGAATGCATCCTCCATTATTCCATTTTTATATTAATATTTTATACAATTCCTTCCTGCAGCATAACACTCAAAGCAGTTTACAAGAAGCAAAATAAATCCAGCTAGACTGATTTAAAAACTTATAAAACCACCAAATATTTTTTAATGCAGAGACAAAACCAAGAATAAGGAAATTCTAGTCCAGCAACATCTGGAGGGCCACAGCTTCCAGCATCCCTGCCCTCTGCCTGCACTGCTGGGGCCAGTGGGAGGTAGAGTCCCAATTACATCTGCAGGCCCACAGATTCCATACTGCCAGACTGAACAATTCATTGTTCAAGTTCATATATATAACTTCCATGTCAGCCTGGGACAATGACAAAAGCCTGCTAAATGTGGTAGAGCACCTATCTGATTTGCATGCAGAAAGTACTAGATTCAGCCTGAGGTGTTAAACATAGATTGCCTGCAAGCTTGACTTGTTCTTTGCTTCAGACCTCGGAGGGCAGCTGCCAGTCAAACTAGACTGTCCTGGGCTGGCTGGCCCATGGTCTGGTCTGACTCTCATTCTCCTTGGGGAAATTTCACATTGATGCAATCGCCACAAAGGACCTGCTTCAGGATCTCTTTTATCTTGAACTCCTTGAAGACCCTGTTCTGAAGTTCCCTGTAGAAAAGGGAGGAATAGGAAGAGTAAGGTGCTCCTTTAGAGAGCAGATTACATGTTGGAAATCAGAAAGTTGATCAGCTCTCGAGAGATAAATGTCTCAAAGTGTATGTTTGCCAAAGCAGCGTGAGGATATAGGGGCAGGTGAAAAGACTTTTTGAGTCCATGGGACTGTGGTTTTACCAAAACAAGAGCTGGAAAGGGGGGGGGGGGGAGTGGCATTAGTTAGGAAAGGAAGTCCTTTGACTGACCTGAGAGAACACTAAACGATTTCCACTGATTTCTACCCTCTCCTCTTCTGGAAAAGACGTGGAGTGGACTGGTACTCATGTTAAGCCTTGTGCTAGTCTGGTTATACCCAGCTGTGCAGAGTTATCTCCCAGAAACCCAACTGATGATCATTCCTTTCTGGTTAGTTAGAACAAAAATATCTGTCAGCAACATACAACCCCCACAATCGCCCACGGTGCCCATGGCAACAGCAGCACCAGGCAGTCATGGGCAGGGATGCTGTGGGACTGTGTTTGCTCTGGCTTGGAAGGTGCTGTCTTCTGCTACATGGAGAGATTTTGCATCTCTCTCGGCTCCATTCTCTCCCTCCTGCTTTGTGCTGCTCAGCTGACATCCAAAATCTTAAGTTCAAACAACTTCCTTTGATGGCACCTTGGCAGTTTAATTGAACACAGTGACATTAAACTCACAATTCAATGCTTCTCTGTCTCTTAGACAATGTCACCTTTGAGCCAAGCAAGGGGCTGCATCAGCAGGCATCATCAGACATCAGAACCTTTAGCTTAGCTACCTCATTGCACAATTCTTTTCCTCCCCTCACTTCCTCCTTGTGATTGCAATGAACAAATACACCATTCCCCCCAGCACTAGCTTCCCAAGCAAAATGAGGCAACACTGGAGTGATGGACAATGCATCATCATGGTCCCTCGCGTCTCAGACTCTCTAGGTTTCTAGAATTTGTGTGAAGTGATGGCTGCAGGACTGCCTCTTCCTACAGTTCAACTGTAGGACCAATCAGGGCTCAGATTACGCTGTAAGGTCATTAGAGGCTGCATTTACAAGTTCAGGCGGTTTGGTAGCACTTATTGCAGAAGACAGCATCTCTGCTGGGGGTCTGTCATATCACCTGGACCTTGTAGCTGGCAATGCCAGAGGTGACCCTGCCATGTTTTACACGCAAGACAAATTCTCTACTAGTCGACTCATCCACTATGTGAAGTTACAAGGACAGTAGCCCACTCTGTGGCCCTGCTTCACAGAGGATGCTTTACTGCAATATAGCTTCTTGGTGTGTTCCAAGCTCTCCCTGGCTTCTCAGTGTATTTTCCTTCATAATTTTAAATAGTTACAGTCTTACAGTGCAAACAGAGGCGCATCTTGGTAATTTCAGACCTGTGTGTAGGAGTTAGCGCTTTCAGGCACACAAGTAGCATTTATCTTTTCCATCGTTGCCACTCTGTTCCTTAAAACTGCTTTTGCCTCTCTAATTTACTGTAGGACCGTCCTGAGATGCTAGTAGTTGGAGAGTATATAAAAGCTTTAAATAAGCAAATTAATCATCAGAGCAAAAACCAAACTAAATCCCTGTTTAGCAACCTTAATTTAAAAAAATAGTCTGAGAATATTCAAACATTTAAATCTTAGCACCATCCAGAATAAAATGGTGTGGTAGCTGCTGTTCTGATACAAAACACTGTAACTTGGGCATGAGCACCATTTTGTTGCAGGAAGAGATAATATGTATTTAAAGGGAAAATAATTAGCATGTGTAGCTGTGTGCCTGCATGGCTGCCCTCCCACAGGCGGTTTCCTTTTTATTAAATAAGAAGTGATGCAGTATCACTCACGGGGAGGGGACGTGGCGTGCCTACGCTGGCCCAGGTGGCGATGCCACGATTGTTGCCTCGTCCTCTGCACCGGCCACTCTCTGGGTGATCATTTGAGTGGCCCTGGGCTACAGACTCCTAGTCTTTGGACCCAGGCCTAGCCCTAGTTTCAGCACTGAATGAGAACATGCCCATTTTATGGCTTGGACAGGATTCAGGGGAATCCTGGTAAAGCCCAGCAGAGGACAAGCAAACTACCCTTGTAAACCTTCAAATTCTCTTTTAACTGGCAATGTAAGGGAATAAAAACATTGTTCAATCTTCTGCGAATGTTTGATACTTCCTCCAAGCAAATGAGGGGATGGCCAATCCTTTCCCTTTGTTGATGGTGCCATTTTGGCTCCATAAAGATTGATACTTGAAGAATGAGTTTGTTGGTAGAATACAAGATTCTATGGGAAACAGACAAGAGTCCCAAGACTTAGAGAAATCCAGCCTTCCTGTCTCTTTGCTTCTGCCCCATATGGCAGATTATTTTGGAGAACTTCACTGCAGTAAATGGGTGATGGATGAATTAGTGCAGTTGGTAGTTCTGGTTTAGGACTGCCTCCTAAAAGACCTGAACTAGAAAACCTGAGTAAGCCATTTATTTATTTATTTATTAAAACATTTGTATGCCGCCCCATTCGCCAAAGCCTCGGGGCGGCTCACAACATGAAGAGATCACCACTCACTCTATTCAGACATATCCAACACTCATAGCGTCATAGTCTCCTATAGCTGATAACAGAACTCCAGAGATTTCCAGAGCACCAACACCTTGGCTAGCTAAGCAAAGCAAGAGCTAATGGAATGTTTTCAGAACGATCAGGCAGTGTTAAAAAGGGCAAGTCATTCTCCAAGAGATGCAATGATTGGCAGCTACAGAAAGAGGAGTTTTTGTTGTTTATGTGGAGCCTACACAACATAGCCATAGTCTCATGTTTTTTCTCCAGTTCTGTAAGCTTGGAAGTATTTAACATTTTAGAAGAGGAACAAACCCTGGTGTTGTGATTTGATTAATGAATCTAAGATAAAGACTTAAACCTCTGAAACCGTATGCGTATAAAATTGCCCGTTGCTAGTACTCTGTATTCAAGAATGTAGGTTTGGGAAAGCAATTATTTCAAGCAATAGGTTAGGAAACAGCGAACAGTGGCAATTACAGCTGGTCCACTCAGTATATTTTTTATCTCTTACAAGTATTTCCAGCAGCCCCCAGAAGTGTGTCTGTGTATGCAAATGTGTGACCAGTAAACCTGGCAATTTTGAATAAAGTTGCTGCGTAAATAGATGGTAATTCTACCTTGTAGGTGGGAAAATATTCGTATGGTACATAGATTTTGGATCTCAGAGTATTTTGCTGAAGTGTGTTCTGGTGAGCATTAACATAGGAAATGGGACCAATGATCACATGTAGGAGGGTACTAAAGTCCCTGATGTGGCTTGCGAGAAGGAAAAAAAAGGTGTGGGTGGACTAAGGAGCAGAAAACTGAAAACCTAAACAGCAGTTGTAAACACTCTTCTTGTAGTAGAAGTAAGCATGTGTCACACTAATGGACTTTTAAAAACTTGATCAAGTGTGAGTCTGATGCAAAGAATGTACAAGTTGAATTAAACATTTCTGAGCCAAGGAATTGGTTTTGAGCATGGGACAGCATAGAGATTGCTCTCTTTTTGCACAAAAATCTACTCCTGGTTATTTACCTCAGTAGTATAATCTAAAGTGGGTTTGGTGATGTTCTGTTACTGTCAGTTAATATGGAATCAGAAATGGACTGCTCATGGGATGAAAGTCATAAGGAGATCTCCCTGAAGATCCAGTATTAGCTTCTGTTCACCTCTCTTAGTTACTTTGAAGCAGGAAACCTGTTAAATTCAGTGTGGCTCTGCATCTCAGTAGGGCTCTCCATGTAAGCACAGAACAGTGGAAATAGGTGTAGAGTATTAATTTCCATATTGCCTCCAAATGGACACTTTCTGGGCAGTTTACAACAGTTCATAAAACCAGGATTGCTCATTCACTTTTATTATGCCTTTCCTCGAAGTAGCTCAAGATACCATACTTCGTTCCCTCCCTGCCCCACTTTTCAATCTTAACAACAACCCTGCAAGACAGGTTAGAACTAAGCGAGCTACAGGGTGGGCTTGGGACGTGTTGCGTGCCGTTGCCCCGCTGGCGCTCTCCAGATACTCCGGGCGCCAGTCCCCGTAAGGCGCAGCCCTCGCGGGCGATTCCCAGGGCGATGGGGATGCCGAGCAAAGGAGCCGAGCCGGACGCACGGGCTGGAGGAGGAGGAGGCCCGGCCGCGCTCTGTCGAGGAAAGGGGCTGGTTCTGAGGCGGCGGAGCGCGAGGCGCACGTGCGCTCGGGCGCGCCTCCACCGCATGCGGAGCCGCCGCGGGCAGGTGCCCCTGCGCTGGACAGGGCCGGGAGCCCCGCGGGAAGCGAGCCCGGCCTCCGACCCGCCTGCTGAGGAGGGGGCGGCGTGATCCGTCCAGGACTCCGCACTTCCGCACCGGCGCCGAAGGCGAGGGGCGCGCTGCCGGCGAGGCGAGGCGAGGCGAGGGTGGAGAGGCGCCTCTGCCCGCGGCGAGGTGGTCCGGAGGCGGCGGGTGCGCGCTGGGGTGGATCGCCCTCCCGCGAAGCTGCTGCCGGCGGCGGCGCCCCTCCCCTGGCAACTCTCCCGGGCTCTGCCCAGCGCCGGGATCGCCGCTCGCTCGCGCTGCAGGGGCCGCGTTCCGTAGCGGGCTGCTGGGCGTCGCTCGCTGCGCTCTCGCTCGCTCGCTCGCTCGCCCCCGAGCCGAGCCGAGCCTCGCCTGCCTGCCTGCCTGCCTCGCCTCGCCCCCTCCCCCGCCCGCCAGCTCGCCCGCCCGCCCCTCCTTCCCGCTGCCAGCCCGAGCCGAAGCGGAGCGGAGCCCGGGCGGCTCATTGCGGAGCAGCGCTGCAGCCGCGATGGCCACGACTGTGACCTGCACCCGCTTCACCGACGAGTACCAGCTGTACGAGGAAATTGGCAAGTAAGGAGCCGGCGCCGCGCCTAGCGCGGGACCAGAGAGGGGCGCGGGCAGCGCGGGGACCGCGCCCTGCGCCCGGAGCGGGGCCGCCCCAGCCTGGCCCCGAGCGGGGGCTGCGCCGGGCCTGCGGACCGGCCGCTGCTTCTCGGAGAGCCGCGCGGGGAGGAGGCCCAGCTGGTGCCCGGGCGGGCGCAGCAGCCTCCCCGTCCCACGGACGTGGCTCCATGGGCCGGCGCGGGGGCGCCCGAGGAGGACGGGGCTCCCGGAGAGAGGCTCGCCCGCAGCGCAGCGCAGACATGACGCACCTTGCGGAGCCATGGACGGCGATAACGTGGGAGCGGGCAGGCCAGGGCGCGCGCGGCTCGCCCGACGCTGCCGCTTGCTCCGCGCGGGCGAAGCCCCCCGTTTCTGGCCCAGCCAAGCGCCCTCCTTGCCCAGCCGTCGCCGCCACCCCCCGCGGCGGCTTGCCCCTCACTCCGCCGCCGGAGCGCCTTTTTCTCGCCGTGCCTGGAGCAGCGACACCAACTTGCTCGCTCCCGGTGGAGATTTATTTTCGGGCGCCCGAGAGAAGGGGGCAGGCTGCGGCTGCGGCGGCGGCAGCTGGAGGGGCGCTGCCGCGGCCGGTCCCAGTCTCCTCACTGCAGTGGCGGCGGCGGCAGCCCAGCCGCTTGCCCTGCCCCGGGATCGGGAGGGCGCTCGCCTGGCTCGCGGGCCTGCAGGGGAAGCACATGGCCCGGGAGGGACGGGGGGACGAGGACTGCTGTGGCCCGGCCCGTGCCGCTGGCGCTGCGGGCGAGGGAGCACCGGCGCCGCGGCTCCAGCCCGAGCGGGGCTCCGCGGCGAGCGAGCGAGCGCGCCCGCCCGCCTTGCGCACTCGCCGCGGGCGCCGCGTGCGTGGGCTGCGCCGGGGGCGGGAGGCTCGCGAGCAGGTTGCTGGGCTGCACGCCGTGCAGCGGGGGCGGCTGGCAGCGTGTCTGCCTGGCGAGGAAGCTGCTGGGAGGGGCGGCATCTGAGTAATTGGTGGAGGGTGAGGTAGGTGAAGCGGGTGACGGGCAGCCCGCGTCCTGCCAGGAGAGGAGAGGAGAGGAGCGCGCTGGCGGGGGCCGGCTTATTTCCCGGTTCCTAGAGCCGGGGAGCGCCTGGGAACGGGCCATTGCGTAACGCCGGGAGGGGGTGAACCCGCTGCCCCGTTGCTGCAAAGCTCGCTTTTTTCTCTCTCATTGGGAGAGGTGCTGAAGCACAAACCTCCTTGGAAGCCCTGCTCTCCTTTTTCTCCCCGTCCCTGCCCCTGACGTGTGAGATTTGGCAATAGTTGCTCCATGGTGGGGGACTCTGCTCATGCTCAGGGGCATTCTCCAGGTTTGTGTGGGATGGAGGAGTAGTGGCTCACTGAGAGTGGAGACTGGCTATTGAAACCATCTGGACCGAACCTTCATTCCTAATAATTGAGCCCTTTATTGGTGGCATCAGTGCTAATGGGCATGAGACAAATCTAGGCAGCCTTTGCTAGGTGTCGTGAGCATTTACCTAGTGATCTGGCTGGTGGCCAGGAACTCTAAGTGCACTCTCTCTCTCTCTGTGACCTTTCTGCACAGTCCCAGAGCAGAGTTGTTTACCTTTCTTCTTTGTGTCTTGCTGCTGAGCAGCTCCGTGGCCCGTGTGGCACGCTCAAGACACCAGGCTGCAATGGGCTGGCCTTGGAATGAACGTGCTGCCGTGAGCAGATCCTGGATGCGGGGCAGCAGTTACTGTTTCCCAGCAACTGGTACTCGGAAGCACACAGTTTTTAAATTTGGAGGTTGCATCAAGCTATCACTCCGAGTAGCTGCATCTTCCATAAATACGCCTGATTGCCCTTTAAAGGTGGCTACTCACCGAGTAGCCCTCGCCACATGTGCCGGCAATTTCCATAAATGCGTTAAGTACGATGTGGAGGAGCTCTCCCTCTTGTTTGCTCTGAATCTCTTCTTGATCAGCTTCACCTGACCTGAGTTTCTGGTATTATCAGAGGAGACAAAAGATGTCTCTGTCCATTGCCTCCACAGCATGCGTAGTTTTATTAGGAACATTGTCAAACCTTGTGTTATACTGATTGGCAGCTCTGTCAGGTTCCAGGCAGGAGTTTTTCTAGCCCATCCTGTAGGTGCTGGAGATTTAGCTTGTGACCTCCTGCATGCAAAACAGGTGTTCTCTTCCTGAGCTATAGTTCTTTAATCTCATGCTGTTCCTGTTAGTTTTCATTTTTCTACAATACAAAGTACAGAGCATGGGATACTCCAGTGCTCAAGCTGATGAACACAGGCCTGTAGCTGTATAATGTATGGAGCAACCTGCTCAGGCATGCCTGGTCTAACTTTTGAACTGAAGCAGTGCCTACACCTTAGTTTGGTTTGCAGAAGCTGGCAGGTAAGGCTTTTTAATGCAATGACCACAAAGAATGCAGATTAATGGATAAAAGCACAGACTAGGCTGTGATATTTTTCTGGGTGGTTGCTAATCATAGGCCTAAGGTACCAGTATACATTAATCAATAAAAGGCATTTATTTTAGAGATAGTATTAATAAGTTTTTTGGTCTGTCAGGTGCTACAAGATTCTTGTTTATTTTTTACCCTGTACCTTTGTTAATGGCAGGGTTCAGTCCTGGGATATCTGAAGCTTTGGCTATTGGGTAATTCATAAACAAAGTAAATAGGTAAAGTAACCATGAAGGCGAGAGTGTTGCTCAGTTTATGCAAAGTGCCCTTTTCTGACTGCATATCTATAGGCAGCCTTCTCAAATTGGACTCTGGCAGAAAGAAGTCCCATGTTTAGTGAGTCTGAGCTGCAGGGCAGAAACTCAAGCACTGGCACATAGGAGCCTGAACATCTAATTTTGCAACTGTGCATCAGAGAGGTTCCCAAAAGCGGATGGGCAGCTGTTCTCCCAAGAGATTGCGGGGAAGCATTATGACCCTGAATACACTAGATCTTCCTCTCTCTTAATGCCCCCTTTATGATGCAGTTTCTTTCCCTTCCTCATTTTAATTGATGTCTTGTACCTTACACTTGAGAAGATTTTGGAAATACCAATGATTTAGGGGCCTTTAGGGGGTAGGATCCTCTTGGCAGGATATATGCCCCACTTATGGATTTCGCCTATGTATAAACACTCTTCTCTGAATTGCTGAGCTATTTCATAATGTCAGTAGGACCAGCAAGAGTTTCAGATTTATATATTATAAATCTTATAAGGATAACTAGGTCATATACTTGATAACTGGATTCAGTTGAGGATCCATGAAATAACCCTCAGTATTCCAATATTCACTCCCATCAGCACTTTTGTTCTGCTAGCAGCTGGAGAGGGCTAGCTGTGTTTGTCTGATCTAGCAAACCCAAAAAGAGCCATGCAACCTTGTAAATTAATAGATCTGTTGTGGCATAAACTACCATGGCCTGGAGCCACTTCATTTAATACATGCTACCCGCTTCCTCCTTGCAATAGCATTGCTGATCGAGCAGTTTCCTCTCTTCCCTACTCCCTTAAATCAGACTCTCCTTGATTATTTTTCTATAATTATCTTTGATTCAAAGCCAGGTATGTTTTTCTTTTCTTTTTCTTTTAGTTTGCCATTATGCTGCTGCTGCTGCTGGCTGCATCTGTCACTGAGTGAATTTCCCTATAGTTCTGTGCTTTTATCCAAAAAGACATTCCTTTACCCAACATTAAAAGTTTCTTTGCATTTTCTAGACAGGGGTGGGTAGGGGGACTGTGATGGGCGAGTGATTTGGACCGAGAGTAGGCCTGGCCCAAGACATCTTGCTGCCTGAAGAGATGATCAAAAAGTTTCCCCACCTCAGTCCATTCCAAGTACAGCAGCTCATCAGACTAACAATTGAATGTATTGTGACACCGATCATAGGATAAGCTTTTCCGCAGAGCGGCAGGCTGCCTTCCGAGGCACCGAGCTGGCTGTGTGGCCCTTCCAGCTGTGCCCTGTACTGACTGGTTGCTATTCCCTACCCTCCTGCCATCTGTTGCCTGAAGCACCTGCTTCACTTTGTCTAGCGGTGGGTCTGTCCCTAAGCAGCATTTGTCAGATCCGTAAAGATAAGCATGTAAGAAGAGCCATGCTGGATCAGAGCAAAGTTCCACCTAGTCCAGTTTGCATAGTGGCCAACCAGCTGTCATGGAAAATCTGCAAGTAGGACATGAGTGAGACAACACATGCCCAGTCGTGTTCTCATCATCCGGTATACCTAGATATTCTATCTCTGATACTGGACCAGCAACCATTCCTAGCCGCCTTCTCCATACATTTGGCCCTTTTAAATTCACCCAAATTGGTGGCCAGTTTTGTGGCAGTGAATTCCATCGTTTAACTATAAAGAAGCCCTTCCTTTTACCTGGCCGGAATCTTCCACCAGTCAGCTTCATGAAATGACCCTTTGGTTGGCACCTTTCTTTGCTTTCTCCACGTCTGTGCTCCTCTGCCATGTCTTCCTCACTTGCCATTCCTCAAAGTGTAACGCTTCTAACCTTTCCTCCTAGGACAGTTTCTCTTGATATTGTGAATTGCCTTTTCCTGCATGGTTTTCAACACTACAATATCAATTTTTAAGTTCAGTGTCTACAGCTGGGCAGAATATTCCAACTGCGGCATTCCTTTCCCAATTATGTAAAACATGTATGATGTACGGACTTGCAAGCTTAGATCTCATCAGCATATATGTGAAGTTAGGATTTTTTGCCTCAGTGTACCTCACTTTATGTTTGCTTACATTGAAACACAATTGCCATTTTGATGTCCGTTTACCTATTTTGGAGACAACCTTTCGGGGGTCTTCATTCTCCCACTCTGTTCTGACCACCCTAAATGCTGTGGTGTCACTTGCAAACATGGCCATCTCAGTCACTCCTAGTTCCAGATTATCTATGAACAAGTTGAAAAGCACCAATCCTAATTCAGATTCCTGTAGGATCCCACTCCTTACATTCCTCCATTGAGGGAATTCTCTGCA